ATAGTAATATCCAGTGATGTAAAGGAACAGATACACCTCAGCTACTTGTTGAAAGTCAGAGAGAGTTAACAGCCAGCCAGCCAGGATGTGTCGTTTAATAAACAGCAAGTCAAGTATTTCTCGAGCAGTCCTTCGAGAAGCTGTAGTAAAGCCTCTAGGCTTGAAGAAGAAAAATAGTTCTAACCTATGTGGCATTTCCTGAAGAGTTAAGGAAGGAGGTTAAGAAACAATCAAAACAATTATTTACCATCTTTAAAAACACCAAGAGAAAGAGGAAGTGAGAGCATGCTGATGGGACAGGTATTGTTATTTTTCTGACTTTTTTTCCCTTCAGGAGTGGAGTGTGGAGATGAAGGCAACTGTAGCCTCAGCCACCTCTTACTTTGCAAAACATTTAGCACTCACAAATGTTTAATATTTTGCAATGACAGGTTCTCAGCAGTGTGTAGCCTACAGCGTTTGTACCCTGTCCAGTAGCGAGGGGCAGAGTTGGGGACCATAGTGGTGATTTTAGTCAAAACACTTGCGTTCATACAGAGATGCCATTTTTAGGCCTTTCGTAGGGGTGATGGGCCCCAGCACTTGTTCTCCCTGCCCCATCCCAAAGGATGTTGCTGGTTCTTCTCCCTCCCCAAGCACCTCGGCAGTGCAGCCTCCGTTCCTCTTGGTTGAGCACCGCGTGGTGCCACCAAAGTGAGCCTTGAATGCGTGTCACTAGCAAGGCAAGGCTATCCTATGGTATGCTATCTCTGCGTTGCCTAGAAGCAGCTTTGCCATGTGAAGTACGATAGCAAAATATAGGATGCTGCAGAAAACTGTAAGCCCAACTGAGTTCACTTACTCCTGGACTCCAGGAGGATTTGACCTGCCAGCCATGCCACTGCTGTTCCTCGTTTTGCTCTGTACTTCTGGGTTCTTCTTTGTGGAGGCGTATTTTGGAGTTCATTTTTCTGTTTGTTTTTCTAGCAAGCAGCAAATAGTGCCAACTCCAGTCCCGGACGTGAAGTTTATGGGCAGTACCTTTCATTGGTACTTGACGTGTACTTTTTGAGGTTGTGTAGCTGCTTCTTACTTAGGATTTTGAAGCCAGGAATAAATAAGATGCATTCTGTGGAAGTATTAGACATGCAATTCTGGCACTTTCTGTATGTGTGTACTTGTGGGATGATTGTCGGTGTCTATACAAATGTGTTTTGCCATGGGTCTGTGATAAAAGATTTATCTTCCTTTTATGAGTGCATTCACATGCAGCCTTCCTCTCTTGAGACACTCTTGGCTCTCGTTGGACTTGGTGCTTTTTGTCACAGCAGTTTGCAGACAGAGCTGAGCTGAGTGTTGTGGTACCTCTGGCTCCATCGCCAGATGGCTCCAGCAGCAGAAAGAAAAAGGTGGTAAGAGTTGTTTTTGCCCACAGCTGTCCTCTGTCCACAGCCAGCTCATCCTTTGGTCTTTCTTAGTTGGTTGTGGTAGGAAATCTTGCCTGCACAGTGAGACGATGAAGATGCTGTGGTTACAAATCAGTTGGCGTTAGGTTTCTGTGGTGTTCCTGCCCATGTG